TACCTCGTGGGGCGACTGGGACAATTTAATGAATAAAGCGCATTAAGTATTTAGCGCAGGCCTCAGAGTGGCTGCTGTTCTTACTCCTGATACTATTGTTTTCGCTATAAACCAAGCAAGCAGCCAATACCTAAGGTGAATGCATATCCTTACAGGGAAAACACAGGCACAGAAGAACAGGAGCAAAAGCAAACCTAACACTGTCAGTGGGGGCGGTCGGGGTTCCGTGGTGGAAGCTCACCTTCCCGGCCAATGTACCTCGTCATGCACGGCCACCACCTGTCCGTCAGTGGAGGCTTGCGTGTTGCTATGATGTTCAACACGTTTCAGCAGAGTTTCCAGAATAAGATGAACTAAGAAGAAAGACCTGGAGATCTACTTCTGAAAATTAGCCAGCGAAAACCCTATGAATCACAGCAGTCCAACCCACAACCGATTTGGGGACAGTGCAGGACTACGCAGTGTTTCACTCCACCGTGCACGGGGTGGTCATGGCTCAACAGCAGCTAACAACAACGTCGGCAAGGAAAGTCCTGGGGCCTTGGTCAAGATGGCCACACAGCTGGAGGACACTCACCGATGACTGCCTGGTCACAAACAGTGCAGTTACACTGTTAGGGACTGAAAGGCGTCCTCCAAAAAGAAATGCTGAAGTCGTAACCCCTGTACCTGTGCATATGACCCTGTCTGGAGATGGGAGTTTTCTTGGTTATGTTAATGAGGTCACATCAAAGCAGAGTGATCCAAAACCTAATCCCTTCTAGGTCTTAAAAACAGCAGAACAGACACAGAGACACACAGAGGGAAGACAGACGCTAAGGAATAACAAGAAATGTCAAGGATCGCCAGCTGTCACCAGAAGCCGGGAGAGAGGCCTGGACAGCTCCTCTCAGAGATGCAGGACTTGACACGGTCGACACCCCAATCTCAGACTCCTTGCCTCCACAACTGGGAGAAAATCAATGTCTGTTCTCCAAAGCGCCCACTTGTGGTGTATTTTGTTACAGCAGCACTGGGACACTAGGACGCACAGCAACACCACCTGGGCACAGTTCTCTAATTTTATCTTACTAAATATTTTCTCTACATCAGCATAAGCAGGCAGACAGTTGACCAGGCAAACTTAGGAGCCAGACATTCCAAATTCTATTTCACCTGTGTAGACGGCTTCACTGCAATTCTGCCAATAAAAGAGTTCTGGCCTCTCGGGGCCTCCCAGACCAGCCTGTGTGAACGGTGGGGTCAAGGAGAGACAGACACAAGGCAGGTTGTGAGAAATGCTGTAACGTGTGCAAAATGCTGGGGGCTGGTTGGGGGGTGGTCACCAAAATGTGTACCAAAAATGGGGTGAGGGGGAGGAAAGATGGATTCCAATGATGGGACCAGTAAGGAGTTGGCAAGTGTTGGGAAAAGGACGTGTGTAGAAGCAAGCTGTGGAACCAAACATGGGC